GCGAAAATTAATCCAGTGTCCTGTTATAGTTGAGGTTGCCTCACGCTTCGTCAGTTCGCTCTACCAAAACCTCATAAATAATGGACTATTCCGTCTTGATCCACTAGAAAGAGGGGAAAGACATCACTTAATTTCAGTGAGAAAATGAAAGAAAGAAGTGGGGAGAGAAAGATAGATAGAACGAATAGATATAGAAAGATCAAATTAAATAGTCTAGAGAGAGAGAGAGAGAGAGAGAGAGAAAGAGAGAGAATCAGATTAAGTCTATACGTACAGATACATTTTGATCTCAACCAAAAGGCCGAGAAGCAATGAGGACTGCGACAAAAGCTCCGTTTTTTTTCAGACGCACATATCGAAAAGCGGAAACTGAGTAAGGCAACCGCCAAAAATACTGTTATCATAAATAAAATAACATCGTCTGCTAAATTATTTTAAAATCGTTTTTAAGAGAAATGTTCGCAATACGGGAACTTAAGAAAGAAAAAAAAGAAAGAAAGAAAGAAAACGAAAGAAAGAAAAAAAAAGAAAAAATGTGACTAACGTCTCCTGCCAATACCTCTTAAATAATAGACTATTCCATTTTAGTTAAGTAGAAAAAGAAAACATACGAATGCATGAAAGAAACAAAGATAGATAGATAGATAGATAGATAGATAGATAGATAGATAGATAGATAGATAGATAGATAGATAGATAGATAGATAGATAGACGTGTTTAACGTGACCTTCCGATACCTCATAAATAATGGACTATTCCGTTTTGATTGCCTAGAAAAAGAAAACATGCTAAAGAAAGAAAGAAAGAAAGATATAAAGAAAGAAAGAAAGAAAGAAAGAAAGAAAGAAAGAAAGAACGAATGAACGAAGGGGAAATAGAAGTGTTTAACGTCTGCTTCAGTGAAATGTAAAAATTATCAATTTCAAATGTTTACATTTGTATCCCCTTACTTCTTAAATTAAAGACCAGCGTTCACATTTATGATTATCATTGCAATATTTTGTTAAAGTTGTTAAGCTCAAGTAATTAACGATGGTTACATGGAAATTCTACGGATATTTTACTGTCGTAGAAATCCCTATGAGCTTCTTCAATCATTAACTGAAGAATTAACATTGATCAGAAATTTCTAATAGGAAAACCATAACATTTTCACGGGGTTAAACGAGTTGCTGATTAAACAGGCTAACTCAAAGACATGTTGTTAATGGCTAACTAGTGCTGAACAGGCATCTTGTCGCTTGTTCTCTAACTAGAACTATCACTGATTTGAAAATTCTATGAAAGAATGGACAAGTAAAGTTATGGAAACCCATACTTTACTTTTGGCATATTTTTGTTTTTTGTTTTTTTTTAAGAATTTTAGACGCAAATGAAAAGAGCGTCATCAGATCATCGATATGCTGCCATAATGTACCTATCAGTCAACGATCAGCGATGTTAAGTGATTTTTTTAAGATTATCTTTTAAATCTGATTCGGCTCGAATGATGTAAGAACGGACAGTGCCATAACTCTATGGATCTCAGTAAACTCACACTTACCAAAATGTCAAATAATAATAATAATAATAATAATAAAAAAACAAAAAAAAAAGAAGTTGGCTTGAATTGTCACATTTGAACATGGCTTACTCTAAGCACTTACGGGGAGCTCCTAAAAAAAATCTCTCGCCTGTCTGAAGCACGCTTTAGCCCTTTAAAAAAATGCATGATTCTTGCTTTTATCATTCAGCGATTCAAGTAACAGAAAAAAAGACATATATATATATATATATATATATATATATATATATATATATATATATATATATATATATATATATTTTTATTTTAAAAAACAAAAAGTGTTCCTTCTCTATGACTTACATTATCGGGGAGGTAATTTCAATGACCTTGTCCAGAGACCATATCAAAATAAAATTATATCCAAGTCCATGTTGATGAATGGGCGTTTTTTGCTTTGCCATATTATGAGATTTTTGTATCTGTCATGTGCATAGAAAGAGTCATACAGTTTCTCCTTTCTTCTGTCACTCATCGTCAAAATATACCCCACTCTCTCTCTCTCTCTCTCTCTCTCTCTCTCTCATATATATATATATATATATGGCCTGTCGCTTCTGTACGTTAGGTTTGTTTTTTTCTCTCCGTCTTCAATAGGCTTCATTTAAGCCCTTTCTTATGACAAGAGTTGACGGATAGAAGGGTCTTTTATACATAATGGCCCGTCTTAATGTATAAAAGGCGCGAAGTAACGACAGCTTCAGCGTCTCGGGTCGTCATTATGCGTTTATTTTATGACTTCTTTAGTGCATGGAACTTTCTGCAGTGCTTTTCGACCAAGCAGTGTCCAGAAATTGACCATCCTTCCTCCTTTTGCTGAACACGATAAATATCTCGCTTAAGTTCCACTGGTGTGAAAAAAAAAAACGATATCTTTTTCTGCTTGTGGTATGTATATATATACGTTATTAGGTTGGTGCAAAATAATGACGTAAGAATGTCGTTTTTTGACGTTAAAAAATACGTCAAAAAACGACATTATTACGTCATTATTTTTGTACCAACCTAATATCAAACTGGAGTTGTCGATTCCAGCTTCATACTTCAACTATGCTGAGCAGACCTTAGTTCCAGTTTCTTTCTGGGAAAGAGCATGTTATCTAGCGTCATCAACAATTTGAACAATGCCAGCACCCTCAAGCTCTCGGCCACGATGACTTGTGACTAGCACAGCTATCGACGAACCCCAAGGGTTCCGTCTACTCAATTTCACTTACAAGGCTTGGATCAACCCGTGGTATGTTTTCCAAAGGTGCTGCTGGGATCGGCCCCTCCAGTCCGATAACATCAGGAAGTCTCCTTCCTAATAAATCGACCATGGTGAGATTCGAACCCTGGTCTCAAGGTCAGAATACGAACGTTCTAACCATTCGGCCACGTGACCATATCTGCTTTGAGAAAATTAAACGACAAGGCAGAGTGAAACACTTTCACGTATATGTGGATTAACGCACACTGAAGTCTCGTAGATTACCTGAATTAACTCTTGCTCTCAGCACGTTAGGCATCACTGCAGGAGTTTCCATCGCACTTAGACGTTTTTACAGTATACATATAGATATACATTCTTTTTATAGATACAAATATTTAAGTAAATGCTCTGTTTATAATAAACAGTATTAAACAACATTTACCGGCCTGAATGTCCGAGAAACTTTCATAGAAAATATTCGTCCTCCGACAGGAATCGAACCTGTATCCTATACGGAACCGTCTTATAGCCCGACGTGCCTTAACCGATTGGGCCACAGAGGAGCGTTTGGTTGGCAAGGTCGATTTTACTGTCTTTATACAACAATCTCCCATGAATCTCTCATGTACATTCATATCTGCTCATGGCGTATCCAAATGTAAACAAATGACGTCACACATTATGAAATGGGCAAAGTCCGACAATTATTTTAAGACATTTTTATGTTTATACATTCTTTTTATAGATACAAATATTTAAGTAAATGCTCTGTTTTATAATAAACAGTATTAAACAACATTTACCGGCCTGAATATCAGAGAAATTTTCACAGAATTTATTTGTCCTTCGACAGGAATCGAACCTGTATCCTATACGGAACCGTCATATAGTCTGAGGTGACTTTAACCGATATGGCCACAGAGGAGCGTTCGGCTAGCAAGGTCGAATTAACTGCTTTTAAACTTCAATCATCCATGAATCTCTCACGTACATTCATATCTGCTCATGGCGTATCCAAATGTAAACAAATGACGTCACATATTATGAAATGGTCAAAGTCCGACAATCATTGTAAGAATAAAAAAAAATTTGAGAAAAAAGAATGTATAAACATAAAAATGTCTTAAAATAATTGTCGGACTTTGTCCATTTCATAATACATATATATATATATATATATATATATATATATATATATATACTGTGGATGGCGCTGGCGTGTTACGTAGACTTGCTGTCCCTTGTTCCCTGTATTCTGTATTCAAAACATAACTGATTCTGGAGATTATATAAGAATAAGAATTCAAATAAAATCTGCAAAAAAGTGCCACGGATCAGAATATTTGCCTCATCGACTCGTTGCTTGTCCAGTGTTGACACTGGCTGAATATCTACGAAGGCACATGAGCCAAAGATCAATTTGCCTGGCATGAAATACTTGAACAACGGATTCGACATGTGCTAAATGCGGCCATTAGAATTTGCAATGCATTGTGGGTAATCGCTCCCGATAGAGAGATGGTGATTGCAAACAATTGTACAGACGTTTTCGTCTAAGAAGCAAATAAATAAATGAATAAATAACCCTTCACAATGATGCTGCCAACTCGAAGTTTTTGACGCACACGTTCATTCTTCAGATTCTTGTCGAAGACATTTGAATTTTATATGTTACTTCAAATAAAAGTCTCCAAAGAAAGAAAATCGTGAACAGTGGGGACAATGGTGTCATGAATAGACTCGGAACGATAGAGAGTTTTAACTTTTGCAGTTGTAAATACATCAATATTGCAAGATCGAAAAAGAAAGAAAGAAAAGACGGAAGAAAATATTGAAGGAGAAAGTGAAGAAGATTTATAGATAAATTTACTGATTCTGATGGACAAATGAATAATAATTAGCAAGAGAAAGACAGACAGGACAAGAGACAAACAGGGAGATAGATATAGATAGATAGATAGATAGATAGATAGATGAAATACAATAGAAAGAAAGAAAGAAAGAAAGAAAGAAAAGATGAAAAAGAAAGAAAGAAAAAAAGAAGGAAGAAGATATATGGATAGATATAAGTGATATTAACAAATAAATAAAATATATATATATATATATATATATATATATATATATATATATATATATATAGATAGATAGATAGATTAATAGATAGGAGGAGAATTAGATAGCAATATTCTATAGATAGATAGATAGATAGATAGATAGGAACAGAATTAGTTAGCAATATTCTATTGATAGATAGATAGATAGATAGATAGATAGATAGATAGATAGATAGGAAACAGAATTAGATAGCAAAATTCTATAGATAGATAGATAGATAGATAGATACATAGATAGATAGATAGATAGATAGATAGAAAATGAAGAAACTTAAATAGATAGATAGATAGATAGATAGATAGATAGATAGATAGATAGATAGATAGATAGGAAATGACAAAAATAAATAAATGTGAAAAGAAATAATTAAAAAAAGAAAGGATTTTAAATCCATTAGGTAGTTCAGAAGACACCTTACATAAACGGAGAGATTAGAGTGTTTAATTATTAGGAAGTTACTAGCCAAATATTGATAGATAAAGAAAGAAAGAAAGAAAGAAAGAAAGAAAGAACAGTACAAAATGAATCCTGCAGAATGAGAAGGAGGAAGAAAGCGTTTGTGCAGACTAAGTTGTTTCTTTCCCATTAAGATAGAAAATGTCGCAGATATTTATTCTCACGCCCACGTCATAACAGAATAGGACAAAAGGTCGAGGATTGATACGGGATTTCGGAAAGCTTTATAAAAACTAGTTAAGCCCTCTCGGCCCTTTTTCTGCTTTGGGAACACCTCAGGTATCAGGTACTGACACCAGTTCCCTCCCGGACGAGAGGTACGGCCTCGAGAGGGCCACACTTAATATTAATTTCAAACTACCGCGGCTAAGCCATAGAAATATAGATAATGCTAGATGTCGCCTGCCTTCCTCTCTCGAATCGTTATATCTTTGTGACCAATGATAAAGTTTATTTAGATTGGTTAATTTCACAACATGTCAACACTTGCTACATTATGTAATTCCAAGTATAAAACATACAAGACAAAAAATCATTATGAATTATTAGAAAAGTAGACATTAGTCCGGTTTTCCACTACATTAAAAAAAAAAGGTGGACTGGTTCATTTTTCCACTATATGAAAAAAAAGTAGGAAACTGGTCCAGTTTTCCATTATATTAAAAAAGGTCATTGGTCCAGTTATTTACTATATTAAAAAAAAGGTAGACATTCATCCGGGCATCCACTATATTAAAAAGGGTAGACATTAGTTCAGTTTTCCACTATATTAAAAAAAGATGGACACTGATCTAGTTCTCCATTATATTAAAAAAGGTAGACATTGCTTCAGTTTTCCCCTTTATTGAAAAAGGTAGATACTGGTCCGGTTTTCCACTATATTAAAAAGGGTATACATTAGTCCAGTTTTCCACTATATTAAAAAAGGTGGACACTGTCCAGTTCTCCATTATATTAAAAAAGGCAGACATTGCTTCAGTTTTCCCTTATATAGAAAAAGGCAGACATTGGTCCGGTTTCCCACTATATTAAAAAGGGTAGACATTAGTCCAGTTTTCCATTATATTAAAAAAGGTAGACATTGCTTCAGTTTTCCCTAACATTCAAAAAAGGCCTTATCCTTTGAATTTAGGGCTCAACCTTTTCGTTTCATCGGAGAAGAGAACATTCTTCCAGTCTTCTACGGTGAAATTTTTGTGATAATGGCAGTGAGCCCATTCAAGTCTCAAGCTTTGATTGGCTTTTGCTTATTAGCGGCTTAAACCTTCGTGTACAAGATTTGTAGCCTTGTTCTAACAAGATTTGTAACCTTGTTCTGACGGACTGTTGAAAGAGGCAAGACTAACACCTTGCTCTTCGCTTAGACTGGCTGCAATTTCTTGGCTAGTTATAGTCCTATTCTTCGCAACTTCTCTCTTGATTACCCTGCCAGTTCTATCATCAATCTATATTTTTTCTTTCGTCCCCTTGTTTCCTTCCATTTTGGAGCAGGAGTGGCATCATTATGTGCCCTAAGCACTCGAAAGAGACAGTTGATTGCGAGGTTATAGCAATTTCTGCAATTTCTCTCGTAGACTTGCCTGCTTTTGAGAGGGCAATAATAGATGCCTAAAGTGGTTCTGATGCGTGTTTGTACCCTACCCTTTCATCTGGTTAGTGACTTGAGTGGCTATTTCAAGCTGTTTTTATACTGTATGAGGCTTTTCTGGAATATTCTGGAATACTCTAGATTTAATTTAAGCTGTTCTAGAATTCTCTAGAATATTGTTCTGAGTGTATTGTAAAATATTTTTCAATATTTTGTCAAAAGTTCTTTAAATTTACCAGTTTAATCATTAGAATGCGATATCTGAGTCACTTTTTTTGCACAGAGTTTTTTCCTGAATCTCATTTATATCCAAATTTATAATTATCAATAGAATACCTTAGGGTGAATAAACTTTTTTTCCTAGGTGGTCGGAAAGGGGTCTTTATATTAGTAAGATTAAAAATTATTTTAACCCCAAAAACAATAGACAAAAAATATTTTTAGTAAAAAAAAAAAAAAATTCACTTTTATCGAACAGCACTGTATATATATATTTATATATATATATATATATATATAATATATATATTCGAAAGGATCAACCGCATATTATATATTTGTATGCAGATAAAAGGGGGAAGATAAAGTTTTAATCATAGAATTGAAACGTTAAGGTTTCTATGATTTGAAAATTACTTATCAAACATTGTTTAGAATTTATGTAGGAGGAGGCTGATCCATCATTTTACATCTCACAAAGGAATACAATATACCATCCAATGTGGTTCTAACAATCATGATTTAAATGGCAGTATTTTATTGAACTTTAAAACTTTATTCAATTTAAGGAATTTCCAATAAGAGTATATATTTTTATATATATATATATATATATTTTATATATATATATATAATAAAATTATCAAAAATATCAAGCAAAATAACACAGAATGCAATAGAAAAATTTCCCAAAATAATGAATAACTTTCCAGAAAATCATATATTTCCTCCCCAAAATTCTATAATATATAATCTTCAGAAATCCTCCCACATATCTTTCTCAATTTTTGTCCACTTATACCTCCCAGAAAATTCATATAAATTTAGAAATACCTTCACATTAATTCCTAGAAATCTTGTGGACAAAATAAGAAATGAGACATATCCATGCCAAAATAAATGTTTCCAGTGACATAAATAAAACCCATATATACATCCCAGAAAAATTTCATATTTTAATAAGAAATACCCCATGCACTTTACAAAAATATTACCTCCCAAAAAATACTATCTATGTAACTTAGAAATACACCCATATAAACCTAGAGATTTTTATACATATTCATATATTCAAATAAATTATAGAAACCAAAAAAAAGAACACCAATATATATTTAAAAATATATTTTTTCCCAAAATATTTAGTTTATAAATAGGAATTTTAATTTTACATAATTTCTTTCATTTTTTTCAATAGATTCACATAACCTTCAGAAATTATATCAAATATAATTCCCAGAATTCTTTTTTTTTTCAAACCTAATCAATTGTTTTTTTAACATTATTCAAATACCCACAAATATTCTTTAAAAATACCTGAACAGGAATACACCCCATAATATTTCCGAAGAAATATATATATATATATATATATATATATATATATATATATAATATATATATATATGCCCAGACAAACCTCTCATTTAAGGACCCCCTTCAACAAAAATTTAAAATTTTTAAAACCTGCAGGAAAACTTTTAAAAAAATATATATAAAAAAAAAAAAAAAAAAAAACTTTACAAATCGTCAGCGATGTATTTCAAAATTTCAAAATTAATTTTAGCGAAACGAATCTGTTATTAAACATTAATTTTGAAGCATGGCGGTTGTGGTGGTTTTTCAGTTGTAAAACAAAAATTGTGTAAGTATAAAAGTTTTATGATATATTAAATTTTGTGGGAGGAAGTTTTCTATGATAAATTTATTATTTTTAACATATTTTAAATAAATACCTTTAAATAATGTATATATTCATTTTGCCATATATACATGATTATAGTATTTACATTATGATCATAACTACTGGAAGTTACTATAGCGGTTACATATTAAGTCTTCAAAAATAACCCCTTTTTTCTACGGAAAAATCTTATTTGGATATATACCATCCCTCTACCAGTCCGTTGACTTTGAGAGGTTTGCCTGTATACATAAACCCGATACATTGAGCACTTTAAAAAAAAGTTCCTGAAATATCAAATCAAACACAGGTGTCCTCAAGGACATCGTTAAAAGGATTTTGGGTGAGTTCAATAGAATTTTAAACAGTGGAGAACCTGGAGAGTCATAATTAAAGGAGATAAGTTGATAACTGAACTTTTAGACATTAGGTGGAACTAGAACCGTAACAATACCCCAGCAAAATAAATTTTAACCTTCAGTTCAAACATTTTAACCACTAAAATGAATATTATAATGTAAAACGACTGAAAAAACTGATAAATATGCCAACAAAGATGAGGATGATAGTCATATAGCAATGTAAATATGTAATAATACCTCTTTAGAAATATGGACATATCTTCGATTTTATTCCGTTCTGACTTTTTTCAGGTCAATGTGTTGGGATCCAATATGATAAATTATCAAAAAAAAAAATATTTTTTTAATTAAACCATACATTGTGTGATTTGAGACGACAGGGAATAACGTTCCAACTTTTTACCGCGTAACAACAGTTAATATCGTTTTGTAACAATCCGAAACAATTTTTTAGAATTTCACTGATTCTACCGACAAAAAATTTTCCAGAAAATAACATTTTGAGTTTAGAGAGCACAAATAAACTTTCAGGTTTGTTCTATAAAAAATTCGGTTTGTACTGGTAGGCTTTTTTTCAATGCCATAATTATGTGTGGGATCAATAAAGCCGTTTTTTATTTTACGTTTAGACACTTGTAAAAGGCGTTTGGGCATCTTGTATTTTGATATTTTGTCAGTTGCGAGACTCTCATTCGATCCATTTAAAAAATCCCGGACATAAAACAAAGAAAATATGATTAACAATACAATGCGAGAATATCTTTATAAAATAAGGCTGGTTTTTATTAAAGCACATTAGCATTTAATGTAAATTGCAGTTGGGTATCGGAAAAGAAAAAGAGTCAGGAATAGTGTTAAAGAAAAGTTTGGAAAAGACATAGAAAAAGAAAGAAAAAATGATATAAAAAAAATAATATATATAAATATTTATAAAGAAAGAAATACTGACGAACGGAGAAATAGATCTTGAGAGAATTAGAAAGATAGACAGACAGACAGACAGACAGACAGACAGAGAAATATATCTATTAACAGAGAGGGAGAGAACCGGAGAGAGAAAAGAGAAAGAGATAATGCGATAGAGAAGAACGAGAAAGAAAATGGGGAGAAAAAAAAGAGACAGGCAAGAAAAAAAAAGGCTGCCCAAAAACAAATTTGATCAAAAGAAAGAAAGCATCTTTTAACGGTTATACACACACACGACACAATGTCTTTTGAGAGAAATAGATTGAGATAAGAAAATGGATTATTTTAAACTGAAAACCAGGAAAGAAATCTTAAATAAGTTTTATTAGAGAGAGGAAAATATAAAATTGTTTCAAAGAGAGAAAAGAGAGAAAGAAAATATATATATATATATATATATATATATATATATATATATATATATATATATATAGTTTAGATTCAATTAAAAAGATAAAGATGGAAAATGAAAAATTATCGATATATATATATTGCGATATATATATATGGACGGCAGACATAGAAGAAGTCCTAAGAGATGTGAGAGAGAGAAATTTTAAAAAAATAAAATTAATTTTAACAAAAAAAAAAAAAAAAAATGTATGAAGGAGAAAAACTAAAATTGAGAATCTTGGCAAGAGAAGAAAATTGCATAGAGATAAAATATATAGAAAAGAAATATATATATATATATATATTTATATATATATATATATATATATATATATGTATATAACAAATTTATGACAAAAGAATAAATTTAATTTATAAATATATATATATATATATATATATATATATATATATAAAAGGAGAAAAAATAAAAGGGGAAAGAGATAAAAAAGCCAATGAAAAAGAAAAACACCCTCATAAGATTTTTAGAAGAGTTGTTAAGATCAATTTGGCTGAAATAAAAAGATAGGGAAGGAAAATGAACAAAATAAAAAAAATATGAAAAGACAAATCGAATCCCAAAAAAAAAAAAGAATTTGAAAAAAAATAAATATAAAGAAAAACAAACTTTTATCATATATATTTTTTTTTTTTTCAAATTTTACTTAACATTAAGAGCGATAATTTTGAAAAGAATGCAAAGGGAGGGGAAAATACTGGGCAATGCTAAAATAAAAAAATAGATTACAAAATATACCAGAAACCAAATCCTAAACAGTAAAATAAATAAAAAATTATTCGTTAAAAATATATAAGCAGTTTGAATAAAACTTAGCCAAGATGGTTAGTTAAAAAAAATTGAAGAAAGATGGAGAATAAAAGATTAATAAAACAAGAGAAATAGAAAGACGATTTTAAAGAATATCAAAAGTGAAAGAAAGAAAAACAGAAAACATATAAATGGAAGAAGGGAGAAAGAAAGAGATAAAGACAACGAGATTCAAAGAAGGAGAAAGAGAGTAAAAAGATATACACAAAAAGAGAAAAAAAGATCGATAAATGGTTAGAGAGAGAGAGAGAGAGAGATAAATAGAGAGAAAGAAAAGTGTCAGTGAGAGATTTTAAATTTTGGTTTAAAACAATTGAAAAAGTTACAAATTAGAAATGGGAGAAAAATATAGAGAGAAAAACAGTTAATTAAAAGATAGAAAGAACAGAGGGAAAGATAAAAGAAAAATTTTGAGATAGAGGGAAGCCAACAATAAAGATAAAAATAGGGGAAGATAGAAACAGAGAAATATAAAGAGAAAACAGAAGGAGAAAAAAAGGAATTAAATTGAGTGAAAAGAACAAATGAAAGAAAGAATACAGAGAGCGAAAAAATTTTAAGAAAAGAAAAGAAGACATAAAAAGGAAATTTGATGTAGAGATTGAGAGAAAATAAAACATAAAGATAGAAAAAAGAGAATAAAAATAGGCAAACAAACAAAAAAGTGAACAGTGAAAGAAAGAGGAAGAGTCAAAGCGTTAAGCAGAAAGAGAGAGAGAAAAATTAAGAGGGAAAAAAGACTGAAAAAAAAAAAAAAAAAATATTGAAATATGAAAGAAAAATTAGACGTGGAGAAAGAGAAACACAAAAGAATAAAGCGGAAAAATAATGATAGAAGAAGGATAGAAAGAAAGACAAATAGAGAAAGAAGGATATAAGAAAGAAAGAAAGAAAGAAAGGAGGAGCAGGAAAAGAAAGAAAGAAAAGAAAGAAAGAAAAAAAAGAAAGAGCTGGCGAAAGACTGCAAAAAGAAATACGTAGATGGATGGAGAAATAAATAGATGACAAAAAAAGGAAAGAAAAATAATTGAAAGAGAAAGAAAAGAAAGAAAAAAGAAAGAAAGAAAGAAAGAAAGAAACGAAAAGAAGAAAAAGAAAGAAAAAAAAGAAAAAAAGAAAAAAAAGAAAAAAAGAAAAAAAAAGAAAAAAAGACTGAAAAAAGAGAAAAGAAATGAAAGATGGACGGAGAAATAAAGATAGAACAAAGAAGGAAAAAAAATAGAAAGAAAAAGAAAAGAAAAAAAAGAAAAAAGAAAAAAAGAAAGAAAGAAAAGAAAGAAAGAAAAAAATGAGAAAGAAAAAGAAATGAAAAAAGAAAGATGGATGGAGAAATAAATATGAAAGAAAGAAAAGAAAAAAAAAAAAAGAAAGAAAAAAAAGAAAAAAAGAAAAGAAAGAAAGAAAGAAAAAGAAAGAGAAAGAAAAGAAAAAATAAAAGAAAAGAAAGAAAGAAAAGAAAAAAGAAAGAAAAAGAAAAAAGAAAGAAAAAAAAAAAAAACTGAAAGAAAGAAATACGTAGATGGACGGAAAATAAATATAGAACAAAGAAGAAAAAAAAATAATTTTAAAAAAGAAAAAAAAAAAAGAAAAAAAAGAAAGAAAAAGAAAAAAAAAAAAGAAATAAGAGAAAAAAAAAAAAAAGAAAAAAAAAAAAAAAAAAGATGGACGAAAAAAAAGAAATAAATGAAAAAAGAAGGAAAGAAAATAATTGAAAAAAGAAAGAAAGAAAAAAGAAAGAAAAGAAAGAAAAAAAAGAAAAAAGAAAGAAAAAAAGAAAGAAAAGAAAAAAAAAAAGAAAAAAGAAAGAAAGAAATGAAACTGCAAAAAGAAATTTTACATGGACGGAGAAATAAAAAAAAAAAAAGAAAAAAGAAAAAAAGAATTAAAAAAAAAAGAAAGAAAGAAAAAAGAAAGAAAGAAAGAGAAAAAAAAAAAAAGAAAGAAAGAAAAAAAAAAAAAAAAAGAAAAATAAAAAATAGAAAGAGGAAAAAAAAAAGAAAAAAAGAAAAAAAGAAGTGGATAGAAAGAAAGACAGAAATTAGATGAAACAAAGGGAATGAGGAAGAAAAAAAAGAAAAAAAAAAAATAAGAAAAGATAAAAAAAAAAATAAAGAAAAAAGAAAAAAGAAAGAAAAAAAAAGAAATAAATAAAGAAAGAAAGAAAGCAAAGAGAGAAAGAAAGAAGATTCAAAAAATGGTTAAAGAAGAAAGGAAAAAAGAGAAAGAAAGAGAGAAAGAAAGATGAAGGGAAAGAAAATAATAAAGAAAAAAGAAAGACCGAAAAAGTTGAAAGAAAGAAAAAGAAAGAAAGAAAGAAAGAAACATTAAAAAAAAAGGTTTTGAAAAAAAAAATAAGAAAGAAAATAAAATAACACATATGAAAAAGGAAAAGGAAAGAAAAAAGAGAGAGAAAAAAATATTGAAACTGATAAAGACAGACAGAAAGAAAGAACGGGAAAGAAAGTAATAGTTTTTTGAAAGACAAAAAAAAAAAAGAAAAAAGCTAAGAAAGAAAAAACGGGAAAAAAGAAAAAAAGAAAAAATTATTGAGAAATAAAGAAAGTAAATAAAAAAAATATAAAGAAAAATAAAAGGAGGAGAGTCCGGTAGAGAAGTGGATCGTCTTGGAACGGATGAAAAAGAAAACGAGAGGAAAATGGAAATTGCAAAATCTACCAGAAATAAATGATGGATAATGCGTAACAAAATAATGAAAGTAAGCAGACGATAAAGTTTATGTCGGAGTGAAAAAGACTCAACTAGAAGCAGACAATTGATATTAAGAAAAGAAAGATTTAGCTAAACTAGAAACCTGGAAAAAAAAGTATTTCGAGAAAATGAACAAAGGAAAGAAAAACATCGATTATATTTTATGAGTTTTTGGACCGAAAGAAATGGAATCAGTGAAAGATCGAGAGGAAAAAAAATTTTTACCAAGAATTGAAGTACTGACATTTCATACTAAATATGATTGAGTCAGGTTCATTAAAAAAAATTAAAAAGATACTCTTATCAGAAGTAAGAATCCTTTTTTTTTTTTTTTGAAGTTTTTAACTTAAGAATTTTTGAATAACAAGACAGACTTGGTCCTATAATATTGATTATATAAATATCTAAAGCAGAAAGAAACGGCAGTTTACTGCGGGAAAATATATTCTGCATAGTCAGTAATTTTGAAGGGAAATGGTCAAACAAGTATGACCTGAAAAAAATGCAAACAAAAAGGTAGGAAGAATATATTGCGTCAATCTCCAATTCAAAAAGCTCCATGACTTATGTTTTTGAATATCAACATTTTCAATCATCTTACCATCGCTGTTATACACACACACAGAAACACACACACATATATATATATATATAAATAATATATATATATATATATATATATATATAAAATTTATTTGAAAAAAAAGTTAATGCATGATTATTACAATGAAATTTTTACAGAATAAAAGATTATACAAACTTACAAAAAAATTTACATAATAGATTAAAGATAAAGATTAAATGGAACAAAGGAAATAAGCTAAAAAAATTTTGCTATTCATGAATTCTTTTAAGTAATACACATATTTATGTCTTTTTTTTTTTTTTATATTTGAAAACTAAATGTATAAATATATATATATATATATATATATATATATATATATATATATATATATATATATATATATATAATTCTCGTCGAATTCGTTTCGTAAAGGGTCAATTTCATTGCCAAATATTTTTTTGTTTTATTCGACAGCCCTGGACAACGGCACATGAAATTTGATTAAAATGGAAGGTTTCAGAAAATTTTCAGAAAAAAAAATTATTGGACAAGAACCAGTTGCCATGAATTTATAGAACCCATTCTGTTCTGCTATTTACCCATAGCTGGAAGGAAGAAGATGATTCACACTATTCCCAATGGTATTAAAACGTAAATGAATGGTAAGAAATGGAAAATAAATCCAATATATTTAAATTACTCCACCGTGCCGTATATATAATAATTAGAAAATAATTCCAAGGAGGACATTAAATCAAAAGACCGCTCAATGCAAGATTAAAAAGGTAATATTTAATAATGAAATAGATGACATTTTTGAAAAAAATCCATTCGGTTATAATTATGAATATACAAAAGCATATTTGACTTTTTTAGAATGACGTTTTTTTTTTTTTTTTTAATATAAGAATCAATTCATCCAAATAAAAGGAAAATATTAATGATATAAAAAAATAAAAAAGATATGAATTTTTTTATATATAGTTTAAATAAATTATATAAATTGATTTAAGGATCTTGGGGTAGTCATTATCACATTGATCATTTGAATGAAATCTCTAAATTTTAGGCATTTTAAAAAACAACATTTTTGATTTTTTTACACACAATTCCAGTAAAATACTTGTATGGAAAACACAATTATTCTTTCGACATTTGAAAACAATAGACAAAAACATAAAAATCCTTGAAGCATTATACATCAAACAGTTGAAACCCAACCTAAACAAAATCAATTACATGCATCTTTACAAATATTCTTAAATGTCTATAATTGGTAATTAGAAACATTGAATTTTATACCATTGTGCTTGTATAATTCATCTTTCTCAATTCACTCTCGTATCAGGTTGTGACGTCATTAGATACATTTTTTCTGAAAATTTTCTTCTAGCGTCTTATATACACGTGTTTATATAAAAAAAAAAATCATCTATGTAAACAAAAGACTATCATCAAATCTTGTCAGTATATATATATATATATATATATATATATATATATATATATATATATATTTAAAAAGAATATTTTGGTCAATTTTGTAACATCCCATTAATTATCCATCCCATAAAATTTAATATTTTAAAAAAAAAATTGAAAAAACTAAATTGTTTTTTCTTTTTTTCCAGGTTTTCAAATAAGACGTTTAACCAACTTGACACCATGTGTCGTAAGAATAGTTTGAACAATCATTTGAGTTATTCAAATAAAAAGAGAAATTTTTAAAATTTTTTGTTAACTCACTGTCTTCCCAACACTTTAGCAATGGTAAGAGGAAAAAAAGATCATTCAGGCATTCATCAATATTACATTATTTAAATCTGGCTCATTTCTTCAAAAGTCCATTCAAGATCCATCATGATCACAGTGAATATTTTTAAAAAAAAAGGAACAGGGGGTAGAGAAAAACTGCCAATCAAGAGGTCACAACAACAAGAGGGATCATCATTTCAACTTATATTTTTAAAGAGATCAATTAGAAAAGATCCAACTCAAGTCTATAAGACGTTTGGCATTTTTCGCAAAGAGAAGAGTTTCAGCTATGAAAGTGTAAAGCAGAGAAAAAAACTTGAAAATTAAAATTATATTGTTTTGAAAAGAATGTGACAGGCACGTTGTTACGTTGGACAGAAAGATATAAGGTCAGAAAGTTAAAAGATCATCTTGAATAAGTTGGAATTTTATATATCTGTAATCATATATATATATATATATATATATATATATATTGAATTTCAATCCTTTATCCTTTTTCTGATCAATAGCTATGATATAATTAATGAAGAATAATGTCATTTTATATCAAAATTATATCACGAATCATTTAAGAAAAACGATAAATTTGAAATCTTAAAAAAATGATAGATCCCATAGTTGTATAAAAACCTCGATGAATTCCATAAAGATATATTTAAATATGTTTCAAAGATACACACAAATCACATTTGCTGTTAACCTAATATGATATACATGGGTCCACGAAGAATGATTTTAAAGATAGATGGAGGCAGCATAAGTGCTCTTTCAATAATATAAAAAAAAAGAAATCAGACTTCCCTATCTAAATATTTTTTGGCATCTGAAGGAAACAAATAGGACACCTAAAGTAAAATGGAAAATTATAAACAGGGCTAGAACATGTAAAACTTGGGATGACCCATGCCCTTTGTGCCTCCATGAGAAATTGCACATTATTAAGCTTCTAAATAATAATAATCTATTAAACAATAGACATGAGTTAACGGTTTTTGTCGACATCATCAGATTTATGGTTTGAATAATTAGCTAAAAAAAAATACAATATTGTAAATACTTTTTATATATTTTTAATAACTTGATTAATCCATAGCCCAATCATCAGATTCATGGTTTGAATAATTAGCTAAAAACAAGCATACAATATAATAACTTTCATAATCCATAGCCCAAATAAATAGTTTAAATACCCTACAAAAAAAGATAACCGTTTATGAAGTCGTCAAAAAACAAACGTTACGGCAGTTTTTTTTTTATGCACAAATCCCTTTTCATAAAAAAATAAAAAAAAAAAAAATAAATAAATCTCCATAGACACGCAAACCAGACTAGGTTAATACATCTTCCGTTTCAAATTTAGACACCCCCACCTTTCCCTGACTTGACATCTATGAAAGTAACTCTATACTGATACTTATTATTAACACCCAACACACGCCTACCCAATTTAAACAATTCGCCCTAGCTGTTACCATGGAAATTTTGATTTCAATTATTAAAACACGTAAATTTCAGAAATACGTTAAAAAAAAAAAAAAATTTCGTTTGAAGATGGAACAGAGCTTACTTTAAATCAATTTAATTCAAATAATTATATTGAAGTTTTCGGCTCTTGTTTTTGAAACATGAGACCTCTTATCTCATCTTCATTGCCATATTCACGACGTTTTGCCCGTTGTACGCTCCGGCCTTTTACAGGATCTGTCTATATCTATGAGATGAAGTATTGTAACTCTTTACAATATTTAAAATTTCATTGCATCTTGAAATTTCGAACCGAACCCTTTATTTAGGTCCACTGAGGTAGATTATTTTAATTTCTAATTTGGATATGTCAGTTTCAGTTGTTTTACCATAACAAGTTTTTTTTTCTCTACCGTGGACAAGTATTGAACTCACAACTCTCTGTATCAAGTCTCTTTTGGATCACTCACACAAAGCTTTTATCTACTGAGCTATGTCTCACTTTCAGATCTCTCAACCAACGCTTTTATACTCTGGGTCATGTATCCTTGGAGACATCAGTGAGTAAATCTTTGGGATTAAATAAATATTACCTGAAGAAGGCCCGAGCGTAAAACAGTCGAAACATCGGGTATATAGCAATAAAGGTGAGGATAATAGTCCGAAGAATGTAAATAGTGTAAATCGTGCGTGCGTGCGTGCTCACGTGTCTCTGTGTGTGTATTCCTTATTAATTAATTTATTTATGACTGATTTGTTTTTTCACGGTTTATCAACCGCTTTCAGATTACTCAAAGCCGAAACATATTTTTGGATTGTAAGAATCTCTTTTAGCGATAATAATGGTATTCTGAAACAAGGCTTACTATTTAACCTGTAGCTGGGAGGAGAAGAGATGGATCAATACCTTTCCCAAGGGTAGTTGCACGTGAATAGGTGAATATGACGAACTTGACTAAAAATCGAACTCGGATCTCCGATTGTTCACTCTGAGACATTATCCATTACACCATTCATACATCTAAGCTTATAGCACCTGGTATTCCCCAGCGGTCACCCATCCAGGTTCAATGTTGCTTAACTTCGGTGATCATCCGAGAACAGGTGTTTCAGCATGATATAATCGTAAGCCTTATTGATTTAAACGTTATATTTAGTGGATATTTTCTTTCAGCAGACATCCCTCATATACACCTACAGGAGTGTTTATTCCAGACTCTTAACGAAATAAATTTGCATAAAACTTATCCAAATTATTCTAAAGTCTATTGGCTACAAACAATTATATACCAGAAGGCGATTATAATATAACGAACGTCTAGAAGCCGCCTATCGATGGATTTTAGGCTAGCTCATGATGG